CTTGCTGTTACACTCATAACACAGGATATTGTTCCAATGGACGTGAATTTTACTTTGATCTCCAAGACAAAGGAATTGCTGAAGAGAAATTGGAAACCCTTTTGATAGAAACAATTGGATCCTTAGTCATCCTCCATCGGGGTTATTTTATCTTTTCTCTGTACGTTCAAAAATATTTTTACATAAATTTAATATTTTTAATTTTTTTAGATTAATTTTTTTAATATTTTTAAATTGATATCAAAAATAATTTTTTAAAAATAAAAAATATTTTTATTTTTTTTTTTAAAATAATCACAACCATATTTTTAAATACCCCTCAGATTCACGTTACTGCATTTAATTTAAGTGTTTTCAATAAATAAATAAAAGTTCATGATGGGTCATGGTCTTATGCTCATTAATGGAAATTAGCCCGCTTTTATCACGTAAGATTCACAACAGGGTAGTGTTGAGAAGGATTATAGAGCTTAAGTGAAACATTGCAGAATATACAGGCACTAAATAAATATTAATGTCAATATGAGAGATTTCTTCTTAACATAAAGTAATTTAATTTTAGTTGACGAACGAGTTAATTTAACAATACTTATTACTATGAAAAAAAAAAAAAAAACTAACAGGTAGTTTTTGAAACACAATTTTTTTTTATCTTTTTATAATTAGTTTGTTTTGTATTTTAAAAATACTTTTGAAAAATTAATTTTTTTGATGTTTCCATATTTTTTTTTGACATGTTAACATTAAAAATAAATTTTAAAAAATAAAAAAATATATTATTTTAATACATTTTAAAATAAAAAAATAATTTAAAAAGTAATTACTGTTACAACCTCTTATTTTAAATCCAAAGAATAATATTAATTTTCTTTTGTTCTGGCAATAATTACTATTTATTAAAATCCACCGAATTTAAACAGCAGTAAACCTATTTTCCATAAAATAAATCAGTACCGAGTGATTGACGAAACTAGTCCGAATCTCAATAAACTCCCAAGTCGAATAACTTTACTGTTTTGTTAACGCGTTTATGACAACTTTTTCATTGAAAAAACATCCAAAAGGCATGGGATTCAGGTAACCGACCCAGACAAAGCAACGCTGCATGATTCGAGATTGGGGAGCTAACTTGCCGAGCTGTTCTTCCAGCTACCCCACCTGTGCCAGTTTTCAACATGTAAATGGGCCTCCCGAGTGGTGCCTTCCTTCATAATTTTCACTACTTATTTAGCAATTAGCTTCTCATATATCAATGAGTATTGTCTAGTAAATGAAGGTGGCCCGAGAATTCAGAGCTCAGGGCCTTCATTTATGTGTCCGTCCATGATATTTTAGTGAAAGGACCATCTGCCTAATTTTCTATAGATTCGTTTCGATTTCCTACCTCAGTGATGTTGGGATATTATTAGTTATTTATCTGATTTATTTAAAAAAACTAAAAAACTAAAAATATTTCATTTAGAATCTTCACCTTCTCCTTGTAAATGGACAATTAACGACTAACAACATATTATTATTAGTTATTTATCATGTATCTTAAAATTCTTTTAAAAATATTTTATTTTGTGGTGTTTCCACATGAAACTAAATTTATCTTCTTGAATAAATTAAAATTATTGTGGTTTGTTTTCAAATAAATTTTCATATTAAAATATATATTAATAATATTTTTTTATTTTTTAAAAATTATTTTT